GGCATGGACTCTTTAAAGAATTTTTAAAGGAACTTCTGAGGTCTATGGGCGTGGACTCTTTAAAGAATTCTTTAAGGAACGTCTGAGGTCTATAGGCGTGGACTCTTTAAAGAATTTTCAAAGAAACTTCCGAGGTCCATAGGCGTGGACTCTTTAAATAATTTTTTAAGGAACTTCCGGGGTCTATAGGCGTGGACTCTTTAAAGAATTTTTTAAGGAACTTCCGGGGTCTATAGGCGTGGACTCTTTAAAGAATTTTTTAAGGAACTTCTGAGGTCTTCAGGCGTGGATTTTTAAACGAATTTTTAAATAATCTTCTGAGTGTGGTAGGCGTGGATATCTGAAGATATTCTGAAGAATATTGACGTGAATTTTTAATTGAATTTGAAAGGATATTTTTACATTTCTATGTATGGCTTTTTAAACTAATTTTAAGTAATCATCTGAGGTCTTTATACACTGATTTTTAAATGAATTTTTAAAGGACCATCTGAGGACTTTAGACGTTGATTTTTTAATACATTTTTATAGGATATATTGAGGTCTTTAGGCGTGAATTTTGAAAGGATCTTCTGAGGCCTATATACATGGATAATTAAATGAATTTTTCAAGCATCTTTTAAGGTCTTTAAACATGGAGTTTTAAAGGAACTTCTGAGGTCTTTGGGCGTAGATTTTTAAATGAGTTTTTAAAGGACCTTTTGAGTTTTTTAAAGGATCTGTTTCAGACATAGATTTTAAAAATAATTTTTTAAGGATCTTTTGAGGTCTATTGGCGTGTATTTCTATGTTAATTTTAAAAGGATCTTCTAAAATGAATTTTTGAAGGATCTTCTGAGGATGTTAGGCGTAGATTTTAAAATGAATTTTTAAAGGATCTTCTGAAATGAATTTTTGAAAGATCTTCTGAGGATGTTGAGTGTGGATTTTAAAATGAATTTTTAAAGGATCTTCTGAAATGAATTTTTGAAGGATCCTCTGAGGTCTATAGGCGTGGATTTTAAAGGAATTTCTGAGGTCTATAGGCGTGGGCCCTTAAAGAATTTTTAAAGGATCTTCAGAGGTCTATAGGCGTGGATTTTTAAAATAATTTTTAAAGAATCTTCTGAGGACGCTAGGCGTCGACTTTTAAATGAATTTTTAAAGAATGATCTAAGGTCTATAGGTGTGGATTTTCAAAAGAATTTTTAAAGGATCTTCAGAGGTCTATAGGCGTGGATTTTTAAAATAATTTTTAAAGAATATTCTGAGGACGCTAGGCGTCGACTTTTAAATGAATTTTTAAAGGATCATCTAAGGTCTATAGGCGTGGATTTTTAAAAGAATTTTTAAAGCATCTTCTGAGGACGCTAGGCGTGGACTCCTTAAAGAATTTTTAAAGCATCTTCTGAGGACGCTAGGCGTGGACTCCTTAAAGAATTGTCAAAGGAACTTCTGAGGTCTAAAGGCGTGGACTCTTTAAAGAATTTTCAAGGGAACTTCTGAGGTCTATAGGCGTGGATTTTTAAAAGAATTGGCTTGGACTCTTTAAGAATTTTCAAAGGAACTTCTGAGGTCCATAGGCGTGGATTTTTAAAATAAATTTTAAAGGAACTTCTGAGGTCTTCAAGCGTGGATTTTAAAATCAATTTTTAAAGCATCTTCTGAGGTCTATAGGCGTGGACTCTTTAAAGAATTTTTTAAGGAACTTCTGAGGTCTATAGGCGTGGACTCTTTAAAGAATTTTTTAAGGAACTTCTGAGGTCTATAGGCGTGGACTCTTTAAAGAATTTTTTAAGGAACTTCTGACGTATATAGGCGTGGACTCTTTAAAGAATTTTTTAAGGAACTTCTGAGGTCTTCAAGCGTGGATTTTAAAATCAATTTTTAAAGCATCTTCTGAGGTCTATAGGCGTGGACTCTTTAAAGAATTTTTTAAGGAACTTCTGAGGTCTTCAAGCGTGGATTTTAAAATCAATTTTTAAAGCATCTTCTGAGGTCTATAGGCGTGGACTCTTTAAAGAATTTTTAAAGGAACTTCTGAGGTCTTCAAGCGTGGATTTTAAAATCAATTTTTAAAGGAACGTCTGAGGTCTTCAAGCGTGGATTTTAAAATCAATTTTTAAAGCATCCTCTGAGGTCTACAGGCGTGGACTCTTTAAAGAATTTTTAAAGGAACTTCTGAGGTCCATAGGCGTGGATTTTTAAAATAAATATTAAAGGAACTTCTGAGGTCTATAGGCGTGGACTCTTTAAAGAATTTTCAAAGGAACTTCTGAGGTCCATAGGCGTGGATTTTTAAAATAAATATTAAAGGAACTTCTGAGGTCCATAGGCGTGGATTTTTAAAATAAATATTAAAGGAACTTCTGAGGTCTTCAAGCATGGATTTTAAAATCAATTTTTAAAGCATCTTCTGAGGTCTATAAGCGTGGACTCTTTAAAGATTTTTTTAAGGAACTTCTGAGGATTATAGGCGCGGACTCTTTAAAGAATTTTCAAAGAAACTTCTGAGGTCCATAGGCGTGGATTTATAAAAGAATTTTTAAAGCATCTTCTGAGGACGTTAGGCGTCCACATTTAAATGAATTTTTAAAGGATCATCTAAGGTCTATAGGCGTGGATTTATAAAAGAATTTTTAAAGCATCTTCTGAGGACGTTAGGCGTCCACATTTAAATGAATTTTTAAAGGATCATCTGAGGTCTATAGGCGTGGATTTTTAAAAGAATTTTTAAAGCATCTTCTGAGGACGCTAGACGTCCACTTTTAAATGAATTTTTAAAGGATCATCTGAGGTCTACAGGCGTGGATTTTTAAAAAAATTTTTAAAGCATCTTCTGAGGACGCTAGGCGTCGACTTTTAAATGAATTTTTAAAGGATCATCTAAGGTCTATAGGCGTGGATTTTTAAAAGAATTTTTAAAGCATCTTCTGAGGACGCTAGGCGTCGACTTTTAAATGAATTTTTAAAGGATCATCTAAGGTCTATAGGCGTGGATTTTTAAAAGAATTTTTAAAGCATCTTCTGAGGACGCTAGGCGTCCACTTTTAAATGAATTTTTAAAGGATCATTTGAGGTCTATAGGCGTGGATTTTAAAAAGAGGTCTCTAGGCGTGGATATTTAAATCAATATTTAAAGGATCTTCTGAGAGCGTTAGGCGTGGACTTTTAAATACATTTTTGAAGGATCTTCTGAGGACGTTAGACGTGAAATTCGAAGGAAATCGGACTGTAATATCAGATGTTATAAAAGTAATAAAAATTTCAAAGTATTCCTGTAATTTCAGAAGTTATAAAAGTAATAAAACTTTCAAAATATTCCTTTTGTGCCAACCTGACCTAGCACTGATACAATGCAAACTTGGAGCAAAATTGAACTATACTCTTTGTGTGCAGTTAAATATTTTTTGAATATTCAAACTTTTGTGGGGGAGGTACTAGAAAGAGTGGGCCGATATTGCCCATTACGGAACTCGATCTAAGTTTGATAATAATAATGCGATAATTATAACGTTTATAAAATTTCAACTAAGAGTCCGATTATCTTCAAATTTCGCACATTTCAATATTTTCACTTACACAAGGCCTGGTATATATATATGGTAGGTATTGGGCCACTCTTTCTAGTACCTTCCCACAAAGGGTCGGGATCTGGAATAATCATTAGGCACATAAAACGCGAAATAAGCAGCCGAATACTTTCAAACTCGGTAAATACCAATACTTCTATCAACACAAGATGTGTTGTGAAGATTGACAATATAGGACTACCCCTTCTGGTACCACCCCCACAATGGGTAAAAATTTTAAACAATTATAACTCTCATAAAACGCGAACTTTTCGAAATAGTATGAAATATCTAACTTAAAGTAAAGCAAATAGACGATATAAAATCAAAATTTGATACAGTTTAATATTTTTATCAGACTTATATCAGATACGAAATGGAAAATTTTGGCCCACTCCTTGGGAACCTCTCCTATGAAGGGTCAAAAGTTTGAATAATCACAACGCAAGTCAAAATATATTTAAATAACCGAACATTGGCTGAGGGCAGCTGTCGGTAATGTCGACTAATTTCATTTAACTTGTTTTTATTACTTTTATTTATATTTGCATTTCTTTCGCAAAATCACCTAATTTCCATAAAAAGAAAATCTAGAAAAACATGTCTACAATTTTTGACATATTTTACCATACATGTTATCCTTGATAAATACCAATATGGAAGTAAATAAAACAAACTGAATTATTTTCAAATTTATTTTTTGCGAATAACATATGCAAATAGTTTAACTTTAAGTTGTTTTGCATTTAAGAAACCTAAACGTATTCCGATGTGAGAGAATGACAAACCGTCATACATTAGCAACAGCATGTTCGTAATGCAGCTGCCTGGCAGCAGACATCAGGCTCCACTTACCCGAGCAAAAATGTCAAAGTAATTTCAATGAACAAGTCCTTATGCAATTTCTTCAGTTGTATATTTGTCCTTGCACTTAGCAAGGATATAATGTCAACAGAAAAATGATGTTACACATACAGACGTACACGCATACATACAGACGTACATAAGTGAATGTTAATCACAAATTTATGACTCAGATTGTTGGGAGACATTGTAATAATTCTACATTGAGCATAATCTGCAAATGTACTTTGTTGGCGAAAAGAAAAAAAAATTGCACAAACAACTCGAAGGATTTGCCTTCAAGAAAATTGCAAAGAATAACTATGCATGTGTGTGTGTGTTTTCGCATTCAATAGATGTATAAAAGGCAACAACTATCTGTAACTGAGAAAAAAATTCTGCTTAAATTAGATATTTATAAGCTTTTATCGGAAAGGAGGAACGTATTATGACATTTGAATGGCACAGTTAAAAGGATATGCAACAGAAAAATAAAAATATCTACTACTACTGACGACGTCGTATTTTGCTCTGAAAAAACTCCTCTGCCAATTATGTAAATAAATTATCTTTTTAGTTCAATTTTAATAATAAAAAATTACTCACTGCGATGCGCTATATCCGAGGGATCTCTCCTTAAAATGATACGTCGTTTCGACGAACAAATTGGTCCAGAATCTACATCGTGTATTACGATTTTTATAGCCTCTCCATCCATAGATGTTTGCCTTCTGGGCGCTTCCAAATCTTCCAGATTGGGTCCGGTGAAAGCAGCTAAAGGTGGTGGTATAGACGATGGTGGTATTGTGGCTCCAGGTATGGCACCTCGAGATTGTAAAGCAGCTAAATCGGGTCTAAAAGAAGAATTTTTAAATCAAGAGATATATTAGTTTTCATTTCATAACCCAATTTAATTTTAGTACTAGCAGATCCAGAGGATCTGAATCGATTTCTATTAAATTCGGGCTTGTAGTACCTATTTGGTGCACAATTTACTTGAAATCGGATAAAGATATTTATGGGAGCCATATCCAAATCTGAACCGATTTCGATAACATTTGGCAAGGGTATTTTTGAGTATGAATTCGGATGAATAATATGGGAGCCATAGCCATATCTGAATTGATTTTCACCAGATTTTGACACACTTATTTTTAGACTCAATTTGGTCGTAAGTGCCAAATTCCATCCCATTGGGGCTGATTTTACACGTTTGGTGTACAATAAAAGGCAAATCGGACGAAGAGTTATATCCAAGTCTGAACCGATCTAGATAAAATTTAGCAAAGGTATTTCTGAGCTGTATTTGATATATTTTCCCAAACATCGTTGTTACAGGGTGCATATTGAGGCTATGGAGAACAAACATAACAAATCGAATGAACAATATATGTGGAAGCTATAGCTATATCTGAACCGATTTTCACAAAATTTTACATACTTGCTCAATTTGGTTGTAGGTGCCAAATTCCATAATATTTGGGCTGATATTGCAGGTTTTGTGCACAATGAAAGGCAAATCGGGCGAAGATACATACGTGAGCTATATCCAAATCTGAACCGATCTCTATAAAATCGGGCAAAGTTATTTATAAGCTGTATTTGATGTATTCCCCGAATATTGTTTTTACAGGGTGCATATTGCGGGCGCGGAGAATATAGCTTATGTGAACCGATTTTCACCAAAGATGTCCCAGTTGTGTCTGAACTCAATTTGGTCGTAAGTGCCAAATTCCATCCCATATGGGCTAATTTTACACCTTTGGTGCACAATAAAAGGAAAATCGGACGAAGATATATATAGAAGCTATATCTAAGTCTAAACCGATCGCGATAAAATTTAGGAAAGGTATTTCTGAGCTGTATTTAATATATTTTTTTTCCAAATATCGTTGTTACAGAGCGCATACTGCGGCTGCGGAGGACTGTAAGCAAATCGGACTAAGATATATTTGGGAAATATGTCTAAATTTTGAGCGATTATCTCCAATTTCAATAGGGTTCGTCCTCGGGTCAAACAAAATTTCATCTGGATCGGGCATAAAATGCGACCTGTACTTTGTTTACAAAAATACATGGACAGACGGACGGACATGTATAAATCGACTCAGAATGTGATTCAATGCAGATCATCAAAAGCAACTATGGGTCTATCTCGTTAGAAACAAATGTACAAAGACATAATAATACGGCCAACTTGTAATGTAGTAAAAAGCAGATAAGTAAATATCCTCCACCACTTTAAAGGAGCTAGAAAAATTCCAAGAAAAAATCCGTAGAAAAATACCATTCAAACTCCCTTATATAGGAGCTATTCGAAGACGTGATGATTCATAAGTAGTTTTTTATCATGGACTGCAGTACTGATTCCGAACTTAGGAATACGAAATTTGAACCAATTTCGGTGACATGACAGTCATAGCTAAGTCGGTTTAGTAAAACTCTAATCTGATCAGAAAATATCTACTTTGTTGGGTCTGACATAAGTATTGATGACAAAGTTAATATACCCTTCATAGTATTGTGGCGGGTATAAAAAATTAAACACTTATTCTATACCCCACCAGGGATCTTTATTATACATTTCAGATTCCCTTCCTCATGTACCAAATTTTAATACCATTTAGTACTTTTAGCACCTTTTAGTACCCGTCTCCATATGCCAATCCTTCCCCACAAAAAAAAAAAAATCATCCTACTACCGAATTTTACGTATCCAACACTAATCCTTTCCTAAGTATCAAATTTAGTACTTTTCGAACTTTTTTTGGACTCTACCCGCTAACAGTGGCCTCAATACCACCATTTCAAATTTCCATCACCAAATTGTACCAAATATGGTACCATTTTGTACAGTTCTTACAATTAGTACACATTTCGAAAACACCTTACAGCAAGCCTTCTTTCCAAATTTAATTCTTGTACAAAGTGTCAAGATTTTTGTTGGAATTTCCAAAAATACTTTTATTTACCTTGGTGGGTTTTCGGCGACTCTCGTTGGATGTGTTCAATTTTAGTACCCTTATAGTAAGAATTTCGAAAACCCTAGCCTTACCTAACTCCTACATACCAACATTGGCCTACATTTCAAATTTCCAGATTCTATCATCAGTCGTTTCACCTTGGCATTGATTGATTCAGTCAGTCATTCACTGAAATATCTTCGAAAAACATATTTTGAAATGAATGCAGTTTTCACAGAAATAGTTGAAACTCATAAACCTTTTATACATAGAAACATTTGCATTGAAGTCACTATTCATATGAAGTTTGCTAAAACAAAATCGTTTCACCCATTCCAGAAACATCAATTACTAACAGAATGCAACTTATTTTCATAGGTATATTATTATCATAGGTGTATTATTTTATTAATTGGTCAGCAAAAATTCCATTTCATACATCGTACATAATTTTCAGTCTTTCAGATTTTATGTATTATTCAGGTTTTTTCTTTTTTGAAAGGATAATAAGAAAATGTTTACATTTTACACCAAAAAGTATTTAAAATCTTTCATTTTGAAGTTTACCATTGCAAAATGAACTCGCATCCAATTTTTCTGTTCAAAACTAGTTCAATGTCTTCATATGTAAACCTAAGAAGACAACAATGATCTCAATATTAATTTTCAGAATTTAAGCTTTAGCCCTTCAACCAATACCAAATTTAGTAACATTTAGTACACATATCCAAAACAGTCGACATCTCTCCCCAGACACCAAGAAGTTGAAGGCAAGGACCTTCAAGTTCGGCGTTCCCAAAATCCTTTGGTACATTTATCCTGTACACTATCAGTGACTCTCATTTAAAATTTCAGTATTAATTTTATAGTACATTTTAGTAGTTTTCTTACCCTTTTAGTACGAATTTCCAAAAATCCAGCTTTATCACCCAATACCGAATTTAATAACATTTGGTACGCATATCCCCTTCGTAGACAACTCCATATGTTAAGGCTATGCATAAACAGAGACCCTAATAACGAATGTCAGATTTTAAGCACTACCTGCTGACCTATCACCAATTTGTCCCAAATATAGTACTATTAAGTACTTTGCGAGCACTTGTAGTTCACATTTCCAAAACCTCCTCCTCCTAAATCAACTTTTCCAACCTTGATTCTCATATCAAGTTTGAAGCTTTTAGCTCTATTCGGTCACATTATACCAAATGGTATCATATTAGAAGTTAAGCACAATTTTAGAACTTTTCGCAACCTTAAAGTTTGAATTTTCAAAAACCCTTTATTACATCAATCCTGCCCTCCATCAACGACTTTCATTTGAAATTTTTGAATCCCAGAATTTCAATTTGTACCAAATTTTGTATACTTAAGTACAAGTGTCCATAACAATCTACATCATACAATCGAATAGAAATCTTGTTTCCCAAATCCAATTGCATCACATTTGGTACCACTTAGTACTCATAAGTACGAATTCCCAAAGCTTCCTACATACAAAAATCCTACACTACCGCAGCAATTCCTATTCCAAATTTCAGCATTCCACTCCTACGGTTCGCTCATATATAAATTGAACCATGTAGTACGCATAAGTACGAATTTCCAAAACTTCCTATATACTCCAATCCTACGCTCTCACAGTAATCCCAATTTCAACTTTTAGGATTCCAACTCTATTGGTCCGCCCAAATCCAAATCGTAACAAATTTAGTAAATTTTAGTACCAAGTGCCAAAGCTACCTACATACCGTAGTCCTACAATGCAATAGTAATCCTATTTTCAAATTTCAGCATTCCTTCTCTTCTTCACCAAATCGAAATTGTACCAAATGTAGTTCCATTTTGTACTTTTTGTGCAAATAAGTACAAATTTTAAAAACTACTTGCATATTCCAATCCTATGCTCCGCCAGTTTTGGTTTTTTGATTTTAGCTGCATACGTCCCATCAAATTTAAATTGTATCAATTTTAGTACTTTTCGTATAATACCATAATACCACCTTACATCGATCCTCAACAACCGTTCACATGATACGTAATGAATCCAACTGTAGTACATTTTAGTACTTTTCGTACCCTTATAGTGCGTATTTTCCAGAAAGCCTTTGGTACATCCATCATACATACCACTAGCGATCCTCATACCAAATTTAAGCTCCACTGGTTCGTTACATACGAAGGGTAGCATATTTAGAACCTTTTAGTACTTTTCAATCAATTTCCAAAAAACCCAGCCTTATCTGGCACTTTCGGACCAAGAGTGACACTAAAATTTTAAGAGTAGAACATGTAGTAGCACAATATACAGCACTATAATTTACGACAAAGTAGCTCTTGACCCATTGACTATAATGAACGAATTCTCCAACATATTATGGCACAGAATTGGACAACTTAAAAAAATTCTGCTAATGGAAATTCAAATTCTCCCATTGTAATTGAGAATTCATCGGGACTTTCAGCATTGAAAAAATTCGCAGTTAAATTTTAGTCTTTTCACACAAAAGTTGTGATTCATTTCACCCGCTAAATATTATCCGTAGATAGGCTTTTTTTCCTATCACAAAGGGTAATCCCATGTCAAATTATGTGTTGATTGATCTATAATTAATTCTATAATTGATTGATCTAATTTAAAAAGCTATACTTACAATTGTGATCCCCTTCGGCGCATTCGCCTGTCTTCGTCAACGGTTAACACTGGACTGCCCTTGTCGGGACTGGGCGATTCATCATTGTTCAAATCTTCGGAGGGATGTGGTACCCGAAATGATGGTCGTCGAGAGCCCGGTAATGTTATCTGAGGGGTCATTGTTGACAGATCTGTGGGAGCACGTTGGGCAGATTGCGCTGCCGCCTGCAGGACACCGGGAGCAAAGACATCATAAGCCGATTTTCTGTAACGAAAAAAAACCTTCTTTAATTTCCCCTACAATAAAACCACTTGATAACAATTTTACCTTCTTGGCATGGCTGGTATACCCAAGCCCATATCTGCTCCCAGACCTCCAGCACCAATGCCGCCACCTGTGCTGGCCGCAGTTGCCTCATCATCATAACTATGCTGGCGAGCTACGCGAGATCCTCGCCTGGAAGCCATACGTGATAATGGTGGTCCGAAACTAAGTTCCTCTTGCCGCGGTGGGCTATTGGAACGGCTGGGTGCCATACTATGGCCACCCTTACGCCAATCGCCATCTCCGCCGGGTGTTTTGTTGCCTTTCAATTGCTGTGTCAGGAGATGAAATGGAGAAAAAGCGGAAGAAGGAGAAAAACAAACGTCACATAAAAATAATATCAAGTCATTTATTCTTTAAATTGACCATTTGCTCGAGTGTCACTTACCCGTTCCAGTTCTTTCAATGACGCAGGTGATACATCTGAATGTCTCCGCAGTTCTGGACTGCGTGGTGGTGCCAGTGCTGCCCCGTTTGCCGGTGCCAGTGTTTGTGTACTTGATCCTAGTTTGGCATCTGAATGACGTCTTTGCAGTGCCTCCAATACGGGCACATCCAGACTGGAATCGGTTGAAGCCTGTGGCATACATACTCGGGATGCCATTTTTCGTCGACACACACTGCAACGCCACATATTCTACAAAGCGACAAGGGGAAACAAACAAAATCGCCATCAAGAAAATGGAATGGAATAGGTTTATAATAAGACAAACGAATATTTTAAAGAACAAAAGGCTTCTAGCTTTTGACATTTAATTTGGCAAAGCCTATGTGTCAGACAATCCGTTTCTAACACCTCCAAAATATTCGATTTAGGCCCACAAAATATATGACCTTTTATATTTTAAAGGTTTTCTATGAATTAATAGGACTCCTTTTTTCTATCTTTGATAGGACCCCTTTAAATGGTCTTATTTTAAGGAATTAGTGTTGCAGATCTCTAAAATAAATCTTTTTTTAAATAAAAATAACACCTAAGAGTATTCAATGGATAAGAGGTTCTTCAAAGGTCTTCTTTAAAGACCTATGGCACTTTTCATGGTAGTTTATTCACACCTCCATACAACCCAAATTACCCAATTTTTTACCATAAATACCGTTTAAAAAACGTTCATTTAACCGACCCATTATCGCCACCCGTATTCACCCGCCGACAAATCGCCACGCTTGCTGCAAATTACTAATGAACTTACCGCATCCTCATTCTCTTCTAATTTACTATAGCTGGCACAGTCCTCACACACCCGCTGCTGGCATTCGAAGCACGTCTTATGGAAATCATCCGGTTTAAATGATTTCAAACAGACCCGACATGCTCCCGCTCTACGACCGGGTTCTGTGTTTTGTTTGGAGGAATTTGTTGTCGCACTACTGCCGCCGCTGCTGCCACCACCACCGCCACCACCAGTTGTTGTTGCTGTCATTGTCGTCGAATTATTGTTGTTATTGTTATTTTGATTTGCTATTGTATCCTGTAGCTGGTAACTGCCGTAGCCGCCATCAGCATCTGTCGGTATTAGCGAAGGACGTGGAGACATTTTATTGACTGCAATGAGAGAAAGCGATTCGGAATTAGTGTTGAATAAAAATAATCGAATGTCAAATGGAATAATTCGAATTAAAAATGGAAAAATTTCCTATCTACTATCAGGAGTTTTTGTGGTCTTTCAGGAGACGACCGTCTGGTTTTTTCTACGGGAATTTCTTCTGGTGTTCTATGAGAAGACCTTGTGATGTTTTATGAGAAGACTTTGCGGTGTTCTATGAGAAGACCTTGCGGTGTTATATGAGAAGACCTTGTGGTCTTCTATGAGAAGACCATGTGGTGTTCTACGAGAAGACCATGTGGTGCTCTACAGGAAGACCTTGTGGTGTTCTATGAGAAGACCTTGTGGTGTTCTATGAGAAGACCTTCTGGTCTTCTATGAGAAGACCTTCTGCTGGTTTTCTATGAGAAGACCTTCTGCTGGTCTTCTATGAGAAGACCTTCTGCTGGTCTTCTATGAGCAGACCTTCTGCTGGTCTTCTATGAAAAGACCTTCTGCTGGTCTTCTATGAGAAGACCTTCTGCTGGTCTTCTATGAGAAGACCTTCTGCTGGTCTTCTATGAGAAGACCTTCTGCTGGTCTTCTATGAGCAGACCTTCTGCTGGTCTTCTATGAGAAGACCTTCTGCTGGTCTTCTATGAGAAGACCTTCTGCTGGTCTTCTATGAGAAGACCTTCTGCTGGTCTTCTATGAGAAGACCTTCTGCTGGTCTTCTATGAGAAGACCCTCTTCTGGTCTTCTATGAGAAGACCCTCTTCTGGTCTTCTATGAGAAGACCCTCTTCAGGTCTTCTATGAGAAGACCCTCTTCTGGTCTTCTATGAGAAGACCCTATTCTGGTCTTCTATGAGAAGACCCTCTTCTGGTCTTCTATGAGAAGACCCTCTTCTGGTCTTCTATGAGAAGACCCTCTTCTGGTCTTCTATGAGAAGACCCTCTTCTGGTCTTCTATGAGAAGACTTTCTCCTGGTCTTCTATGAGAAGACTTTCTCCTGGTCTTCTATGAGAAGACTTTCTCCTGGTCTTCTATGAGAAGACTTTCTCCTGGTCTTCTATGAGAAGACTTTCTCCTGGTCTTCTATGAGAAGACTTTCTCCTGGTCTTCTATGAGAAGACCTTCTTCTGCTCTTCTATAAGAAGACCTTCTTCTGCTCTTCTATGAGAAGACCTTCTTCTGCTCTTCTATGAGAAGACCTTCTTCTGCTCTTCTATGAGAAGACCTTCTTCTGCTCTTCTATGAGAAGACCATCTTCTGCTCTTCTATAAGAAGACCTTCTCCTGGTCTTCTATGAGAAGACCTTCTTCTGCTCTTCTATGAGAAGACCTTCTTCTGGTCTTCTATGAGAAGACCTTCTGGTCTTCTATGAGAAGACCTTCTGGTCTTCTATGAGAAGACCTTCTGGTCTTCTATGAGAAGACCTTCTGGTCTTCTATGAGAAGACCTTCTGGTCTTCTATGAGAAGACCTTCTGGTCTTCTATGAGAAGACCTTCTGGTCTTCTATGAGAAGACTTTCTGGTCTTCTATGAAAAGACCTTATGGTCTCCTATAAGGAGATCTACTGGTCTTCTATGAGAACACCATCTGGACTTTTATGAGAAGACGTTCTTGTCTTCTGTGAGAAGACCCGCTGGTCTACTATGAGAAGACCTTCTGGCCTTCTATGAGAAAACCTACTTGTCTCCTATGAGAACACCATCTGGCCTTCTATGAGAAGAAGTTCCTGTCTTTTATGAGAAGAACTTCTGGTCTTCTATGAGAAGACCTTCTGGTCTTCTATGAGAAGACCTTCTGGTCTTCTATGAGAAGACATTCTGGTCTTCTATGAGAAGACCTTCTGGTCTTCTATGAGAAGACCTTCTGGTCTTCTATGAGAAGACCTTCTGGTCTTCTATGAGAAGACCTTCTGGTCTTCTACGAGAAGACCTTCTGGTCTTCTACGAGAAGACCTTCTGGTCTTCTATGAGAAGACCTTCTGGTCTTCTATGAGAAGACATTCTGTTCTTCTATGAGAAAACCTTCTTGTCTTCTTGAGAAAGTCCTTCTGGTCTACTATACGAAGACCTTCTGGTCTTCTATACGAAGACCTTCTGGTCTTCTATACGAAGACCTTCTGGTCTTCTATACGAAGACCTTCTGGTCTTCTATACGAAGACCTTCTGGTCTTCTATACGAAGACCTTCTGGTCTTCTATACGAAGACCTTCTGGTCTTCTATACGAAGACCTTCTGGTCTTCTATACGAAGACCTTCTGCTCTTCTATACGAAGACCTTCTGCTCTTCTATACGAAGACCTTCTGCTCTTCTATACGAAGACCTTCTGCTCTTCTATACGAAGACCTTCTGCTCTTCTATACGAAGACCTTCTGCTCTTCTATACGAAGACCTTCTGCTCTTCTATACGAAGACCTTCTGCTCTTCTATACGAAGAGCTTCTGCTCTTCTATGAGAAGACCTTCTGGTCTTCTATGAGAAGACATTCTGTTCTTCTATGAGAAAACCTTCTTGTCTTCTTGAGAAAGTCCTTCTGGTCTACTATACGAAGACCTTCTGGTCTTCTATACGAAGACCTTCTGCTCTTCTATACGAAGACCTTCTGCTCTTCTATACGAAAACCTTCTGCTCTTCTATACGAAGTCTTTCTGGTCTTCTATACGAAGACTTTCTGCTCTTCTATACGAAGACCTTCTGCTCTTCTATATGAAGATATTCTGGTCTTCTATGAGAAGATCTTCTGGTCTTCTACTGAGAAGACTTTGTTGTCTTCTTCTGTCAGATGAAGGCTACTTATGATATATTTTTTTCATTTTTATAATTATTTAAAAAAGGCATTTTAGATTTATAAATTTATAATTATACGATTATGATTGAGTGCTTCATGTTCGCCTACTAAGAGGTACTCGTATATCACGTTGTCAGCCCAATTACTCTCTGTAATAAAATCAAAATGTCTTTGGGTTACATCGAATTTCGTGTTGTCTCTCAACTCCAGTGCACGCAAATCTATGATTATTTTCAGGCTAGAGACAACAGCATGGCGCCCAAATGTCACGAACTAGTTTCACGTTACCTTAGGGGGTTTCTGCAAAACACAAATTTGTATGTGATCGGATATAATGATTATGGCGGTGGTTACCATGGGAAATAATTGTAATCTTGTTTAATCAATTGCCATTGAATCACTTAGTATTGCAATACGTGGAATTTCAAGAGTACATTATTATCTATCTTTTCTTGTATATCTATCAAGTAAAATAGGTTAAAGTAGAACACATTTTAACAGATCGCTTAAATTTAAAAGATGAAAATAATTTTTTAAAAACTTCGCCATATGCATATCGTTTTGTGAAATAAATATTTGTTGTTTATAAACCCATATTTTATTGTGCCATGGATTCTCAGCAAACACCCCATCTCTCTCTCTCTCTCATCTGTGCACATTCAACATCCAAACATTCACATTCAACCATCTACATTCAAACATTCAAGCCTGCCGCCCTCCAACTTTTTCGAAATCTATAATGCACCGCATAAAAACCCCATTTCCGGTTGAAGTGGCCAAAGTATGTACTCCATAAATGTAATATATTTCCATTTAACGTGGTTTCATTTTAACCGCACTGACGTTTCCTGTGTGTCGCCTTCGTCTAGCTGTCGTGCAGCAATGTATTACGTCCAAAGCTAGAAAAATATGTAAACCACAAAAAAACCATACACACACACACACATACACACAGTTGCACACACGTTCACACAAAAAGCTTACAACAAATGGAATGTCATGTGCAGCCTAAAATGGCACTGAACGACCACAATGTGCATCAGCCATGGTTATTACGTTACGGCTGAAAGGTGGCACTTGAACAAATTTGTTTTTCCACTTTTTACTTCTCTGGCTAAAAAGGAGAGAGTGGGGGAGGAAAAAGAAATTTCGTTAACGTTTTAAAAAAAACTACATAATTTACATTGGCAAAGGAATAAATTTTTTTAAAATTTTCTAAAAAAAAAGAAGACCGAGGTTTGATAATTTCATGAGCATTTTTATGCAAGTCAGCAGAAATTTTATAACCCTCTATTATACAAAGACAGGTTATATGTTTCTCTGACACTATTTTTCTAAAATGTTGTTTTGTAGAAGAATTTTGCATGAAGTCATATCAAGAACGATTTTAGCCCTAAAATGTGTTTTTAGTACTTATAACGTTCGGGCGTTTAGGGAGGTGCAGTTTCAAAAATTCAAATATTTTAAGACCAACATTTGAATTTTATGACAAATGATTTTGTGGGATATTTTCATTTCCTACGATCCTGTTTAAAGGGCGATTTTAAAGAGTACATGTAATGACTCGCTAGAGAATTAACATTTTCGAATTGAATTATTATCCTAATATTGTCTGATCTGATTTAAGGAGATCTTAATCCGGAAATATCAAAAGAAGTGGATGAGGAGAACATACACCCTATAGGTTACTTTGCGATACATACTCGCATTCTCTTTTTATACCCTCAGTCATAAGGCTACAGGGGGTATATATCATTTGATACGGTCAAAACGTGCCTAGTAGAAATGACGAAATGGCGGTCTGTCTGGCTGGCTGTTGCGCAGCATAAGTTTCGGACAGAGTATCAAATTTGGTCCAAACTTGGTACACCGTAATATTTTTGTCAAGGTTAGATCGGATATGGGCAATATCGGTCCACTCCTTCTAGTACCTCCCATACAAAAGGTTAAAATTTTGAATAATTACAACTATTATAAAATGGGATGTAAAAGTCCGATTGTCTTCAAATTTCATACATCCCATTATTTCTACTAACACAGATTCTGTAGTGAATATATATATATCGATCCACTCCTTCTGGTGACTCCCCAACAAAGGCTCAAAGTTTTGAATAACCACGAAGCTCATAAAAAAACGAAATTAACATCAGATTCCATTGTAGATTTGATATATCTCAATATTTCCGTCAACACAAGATCTGTTATAAAGACGGTAGAGA